TGTCCTGAAATAATGTTCCACTAAACAATTCTAAAAATGTCTATTATTTCTCCTCATAACTTACATGCTTTCATTTTTTCAGAGAGACTGCAAATTTCATCAGAAATTAATCTAGTTGTAAGTTATGGTATACAGGTATATTTTAATTTGTAAAGGATACTCAATTTTAAAAGTACATTTAATGACTAACTTTTCATCATTATATATAGTTCATTTAAAAAAAATCTATGTTTAGATCTCATAGTACATAAAGCATCTTTTCTCCTGATGGTTTAGCTTTTCCTAATTATGATTATACACTATATTTTAAAATAATGTTATATAACGTATTAACAGTTTATATATTAATTTTCTCTGTATTCAAATTAAAAGAATATTTATATTAGCACAACTGAATCATTCCATCCAGGATGACTGGGGGTGTATTTTGTATTAAAGCTTCCATATGTTCTTTTGTAGAGATTTTTGGTTGTTTTTGTTTTTTAGTGAAATCTCATCATACTTCCTAATTTTGTGTGTGTGCCATATTTTAAACTGACATTAGGAAAGATACATCTCAGATTATATTTACTAACTTTTGAATTATTTTCATATACATGTAGATCAAAGAAGCTGTTAATTATCATATATTTGTTCTAAAGGGAAATATAATATATAATATTATATATTTTGCTAGATTAAAAATCTTAAATTGAACATAGTGATGCATGTCTGTGATCCCTGTACTCTGGAGGTGAAGGCAGTAGAATCAGAAACTTAAAATCATGCTGAGAGACATAGTAAATTGTAGGCCTTCCTGGGATACATGAGTCCATCTCAAATAAACAAATATATAGCATACATGCATACATACACACATAGATACATATACACATTCTTATTACATTGGGCTTCATTTTCAGAAAGTAATGCAGAGGAACATAATCCATTATTTTAATAAAAATACTTCTAATGTCCATCATGATAGATTTTTCATTTTGGTAATAAAAAGATGATTGCAATAGGCTAAAATATGTCAAATATATAAAAATCTATAACTTACAATGATAATAACAAATGACAGCAACAGCAATAGTAAATCTACACTGGCCAACCTTTAGAGAGTGCTAACACACAGCTATGACATTGACAATGGGAAAGATTTATGTCTTTATCTCTTCTTTCCTAGATGAGCTATAGGTTAGAATGGCTACATATTTTAATTATAATTAAACATGGGTAATTTTACATGAGAAAATGGAACAGTATTTCTTAGACATTGTGAAAGACAGAAAGTAGGGAGAACAGAAGGAAATCACATACAAAACACCAAAGCACAGAAGAATTAGTTCTGATTTTTGATAGCACAATAGTGTATTGGTTGTAATGCTATATTTAAAAAAAAACCTAAAACTATAAAACTTACCTACACATAGACACAATTAAGGAGATAAACCTGCTTTTAAATCAATTTGTTCACTACAAATTATTTATTTGCATCAAAGTTTTATATTCTATCCCATATAGATACATAGAGTCTCAACAACAATAATAAAAATGGTTATGATGATGATGATGATTAAATAATTCCACTTAAGAAAAGGTCAAAGGAATGACAGAAAACTGCATCTTGCAGTATCTAAAGAGATAAGGGATCTAATAAACAATTTGAATACATACTAAGGGATACAGACAAAATACTGTTTGAAAGCTTTATTTCATAAGGAATCACAATGGTAGCATATGAGCCCATTGATAAATCATACTTAATCAAGTGAGATAATGAGATACATTCCTCACGAATTATTATGAATACTCTTGGCTTAGATGTAATATGTAACCATCACATTTCATAAAAATATCAAAAATGGAATAGTGAAATGAATAACAATGACAAACCCCAAATCAGGAATAATGGATATCACTAGAATCTGTAAGTCAATGGCAAAAAACAAAACAAAACAACGACAAAAACAATGACAACAAAACTATTTGCTATCTAAGAAATTTAAAAAGTAATCAAGAGTACTACAGACCTGATTCAGTGTCCATTAAAAGTAGATGACTTGGGAGACAATTAGGAACATTTGAGTATTGACTTGGTATTAGATGATACTAAGAAATAATGCTGAATTATATCAGCTGCAGTAATGGTGCCTTGGTAATATGCAGTCAATTAAATAATCAACCAACCAATCAAACAAAAAGGCAACATTCTTATAAGAAAGGCACACTATTTATATATAAGTGAAGGTCAAACAAAACAAGCAAGAAACACTCCAAAGGATGTTAGCAACTATTCAAATGAAGAATGAAGGAAACAGCGTTGAAGGTGGGAAGTCAGAGGAGGAAGATAGAGAACTCAAACAAGAGTCCCTTGAAGAACTCTCTTTGGATCACAAATGATTCCACCACTACCACAGCTAGCTGTCCAGTCCACTAATTTTCCTCCTTTGGTGTTTCAAGTAAAGCATCATGGGAGTAGTGAGAGTTATGCTTTCCTTTTTTTAGTCACTATAGCAAAAATTATAGACAACATTTTCTATCTCTAAAGCCTTACTTAACTATAAAACCAATTGCTATAACTTCAGACTTAAAATGTGTGGGTTTTTTTTTTTTATAAATCTGAGAAAATTAAAGAAAAATACCATTTGAGTTTGATGCTATCATCAGACACATTACTCAGGAAGGGCCACTGTGAAGCTGCCCCCCACCTTCAGCAGAGCAACTGCAGTCACAAGTTGTTAGCAGCAGACGGACAGCTGTACATTGCAGAGGTTGGCATACTAGGACGGAATTAGATCTTGAAATCCACTTCTTTTAGCTGTACCAGAAAAACTTTAGCTCCACACAAACAATTTTATTTAATGAAGTTAAAAAAATAAAAGTCATACTAAGATGGGTGCCCGTGAAAATAGAACTTTACACATGTATAGCCTTTATACTCACCATTTACTTGATTGGTCCAAATATTTATAGTTCATTGTTATGACTGCCAAAACTGGCAACCACGAGGATTGTTGTCTCAATTAGGACAGTAAACAGATTGTCTCTTTTTTTAATGAAAAAATCTAAAATGTAATACTTCACAGTTTCACATGTTTATTCATCCAAACGAGCTAAAAAATAATGGTGCGACATCTGTTCGAGAAACATTGGTACCTCAAATTTTGGCTGCCTCCCCACCAATTTGGTTGTTGTTTTAAAAAATGAAAAATAGGAGGGGGCACTGTCATCAAAAATCTTCTGGCATGTAAAGTAACTTATTTTTCTCGAAATAAGCATCCCATATCTGTTGCTAAGGATACAAAAATTGTGTAACAAGGCATTACTATGCAGAATGGGGATGCAGTTCAATTGTTTTCAAAGAGTCTGATCTGCTATGACTGTTCCACAGTGGTACACTTCTTCACATGACTCTCCAATGGTGAGAATGTTTCTGTAAGTGTCGGACTCATCTGCTACAACTTTGTTTTTACTGAAGGTTGTAGTGATTCTAGATACGGTGTCAGTGGGACACCACATAGTAACATCTAACATTGGCGTAGTGCTAATAACAGGCTGCAATGCTACTAGTGGAGAAGTAGGAAGGCCCCCCCATGAGAGAAGCCTCAGGTAAGTGTAAAGAAGCGTCACTGTTGCTAAGAGCGAGAATAAAGAATCAGCTTTGGTAGTCTCTGGATCAGAAGTGTGTTACAGATGTAGTACATTAAAATAGAAATATGTTTAATTTCTAAGCATTTATTCATGAAGCCTACCTAATGTACAATTCACTCCAATGATTATTATTGACTATATACTTTTAGAGCATAAAAAACTGAGTGTTTTAGTATTCACGTAAACATTATAATAAAAATTTAATTTTATTTTCATCTGAAATGCATATGTATGGTAAGTTGACATGAAATGCTAAGAATGTTTTTAAATAAATATGCATTGATTTCCTTAAAAAGACTGATGTTCCTATTTCATATTGACTTTGTATTAGTTGTTTGATTCTGCAAGAAATTAATTATATCTAATATCTAATATATATATATATATATATATATATATATATATAATCTTCCAATATACCAGTCAACCATAAATGCTAAATTCTGGGTTAATATTGGCTTAGATATATTTATTAAATTCAAAAAAATTTTTAGCATCTACTATATAAAAAAAAAATCACTCTGAGGCAACTAAAATACACTAAACCAAATTCCTACATGCATTTAAATTCATGGGTAGATGACCACACACTGGAATGACAGAAATAAGAAAACTCATATTCTCAGGATCTTACCATCATTGGTTGGGGTTCAAGTATGTCATCACTGTTTATGAAGAAGTTCTTCATAAACACTTTATATTTTATACTTGCAAAACAGGCCACCCTATATTTGCACTAAAAATAGGTCTTTGGGATTTTTTTAGAAAGAAATATTAAATGATGTTATATTTTTACAATATTTCTCCTCAAATAAATTTAAATGATTTTTATCTAAACTTTCATGGGAAATCATAAGCTTTGCACCTCATTTGCAACTCTCCACAGGTTATACCTTAGCTATCTGGCCTTGGTTGGAAATCTATGTGACATCACACATTGAAGGATTCCAAAGTTCTTTAAAAGACCTATAATGTTTTCCGATTTTGTCATCCATCACTCTGAGCAGAGTAAGTTATTGTGGGGAAAATAGCCATGTCGAACCTGATTCTAAGCCCACATTGACAACAAATACTACCCACTAGTCAAAAGTGTAGTCCTCGGAAACAGTAGGAAGCTAACATCTTTCTATCTTGAAATATTCAAACTAGACATTCAGCCTTGTGTCTTTGTTTATGAGATTGGCTGTTTCCTGTTAATGTGAGTTCAAGAAATTTGCATTTTATTATATAAAATAGTATTATGTAAAAATATTATCATCTTGCTTACCTGCTGTTTACTGAAATCAAAGCTTTTAGCCTGGGATTTGTTTTCTGGGAATGTCATAATCAACCCGCTACACAAACGGATGCAGGACAGGCAGAAATTCAGGTGGTGAAACTTGCTTATTATTACAGTACATTTCAACTGATATTTATTATTATAGAAACATTTTCTCTCCAAAGCACATCTCATGAATAGAACAGAATGGTGCAGTTTTTCTCAGAACAGCCACTTGTCAAACATTTCCGGGAGGTGCACATCTATTTTGAATACTGTGAACTGCGCTACCATCTAACCTGGACAGGTATCTGATAAGCAATTATTACATATTCTCTCACTTCAATTACACTGAAAACCAGAAATAAGCTTTATTGGATGTGACTGTTTTTAACACCATATGGGAGGGAAATAACTAAATGAAAATTGCTCACGTAAATGTGATGAGACTGGAAGAAAGCAGTATTTCTTGACATGTGGCATGTCACTCAGGAAAGTAAAAGGCCCATCAAATCCAAAATGCCAGCTTGGATATTCCCTTGCCTCCCACTTCGCGAACAGATATACCACATGGCATAAAATGCTGCAACCTTTCCTACAAATGCCACTTGGATGGGTCCTCTGTGGTGAGTATACAAAACTCTTCCTCTGTCTCTTGAGTCTGGGAATTCAAGAGGAAGGATCCAGCAAAGAACACTGGCTACATTTTGCCCTCCGATGTTTGGCATAAATAATCTGTGAGGATCCTGGAACCTTTGGCTGTTCACACCGATGAAATGAATTACGCTACTTCAAAGATTCGACAGAACAAATGCTACACTGACATACTCAAAAGTACCAAAGAATATCTGTTCTTTAGAAACTATGCTATAAAGCCAGATGAACTCCTAGAGTATTTATTAGAGCTTCTGTCTCTTGGCAAGTAAGGAAATGTTCTTAGAATTGTATTTGTTTTTCAGAAAGTCAATATACACTCCAAAACTCTGCATATATTTCAAGATAGCCATTTTCTATACATCTTTATATCAGATAGGAGTGAATATCAATTCTGTGGATATGTGTGTGTGTGTGTGTGTGTGTGTGTGTATACCACAGAACTTTCTAAGCTTTATGTGTTCATGTGTTTTAGAATTCTATTAAAACTCTGATTGCCAATAAAGTATTGAATATTCTTTATGCTATATATAACACAAAATATATTGACAAATTCTACAGAAAAGTACCGATGAAAGTAACATGTGATATATATTTTTCTATTATTTATTTTTCTTTACAGTGTGGGAATTAATTCTAAAGAGACAAAATGTAATTCTATTAAAACTCTGATTGCCAATAAAGTATTGAATATTCTTTATGCTATATATAACACAAAATATATTGACAAATTTTACAGAAAAGTACAGATGAAAGTAACATGTGATATATATTTTTCTATTATTTATTTTTCTTTACAGTGTGGGAATTAATTCTAAAGAGACAAAATGTAAGTTTAAAAAAATGCCTTTGAAATGCTTAAAGAGACAGCCCAATAAAATGATTCAGTGTAGGTACACCCCTGCTAATTCTGCAGTGTGAAAAACCCTGTGCAATTAAATGGCAGATTGTTACATAGCTCCCTAACAAGAGGGGCAAACTGATACTGCAGGCAGCCAGAACAACATAATTAATATAGAATTCCACTGTTATATTAATGGAGTAATAAGTTAATTAAAATCAAGATCAACTGAACTTTCTGTTTACACCAGTTCAGGCAGCCCAAAAGGAAAGGAAGTCGATTTTAGGGACATATGTGACTCTTTGAGCTTCTGTCATCCAGGTGCCATTTGTGAGGCAGCGCATGTGCACTAACAGTTGGCAAGGAAGGAAAAGATTCCTGTGGATGTATGTGCAGATAGTCTCCCTAATGATATCAAATATGTCTGCAAAGAAAGCACGCTTCTTTGTAAACTAAAAATTTCCATTACTTTCTGTTCATTCTTAGGTTCTGAATATAATTTTGAGTATGCTTCTGCAAATGACAATGGATACTTTTTTTTACAATATACATAGGATAAAACAGATTTAGTTATGTGTAACTGATTGAGTTATACATGTAAATTGGGAAGACATTTGAAAACCGTGTTATCCAACTATATCATGAATAGAGGATCTGCCAGTGCAGAAAGATTTACAAAGTATTGAGTAGCATGCGTGACTCTAGATTGCTTGGTAAGTTCTCCAGATATCTTATGCCGCTAGGTACAAAGATATTTCTGCAAACTGACAGTACCAAGAAGAAAATATTCAAAATGTTATAGTTTGGGAAACTGGCAAAGTATTTGTCCCCAAGGATGCTCTTATCAGAATTATTTCCTTTCCTTTATTGATTGCTGTTCAGCTAATCTTCATCTGGGTCCAGATCAGAGTCAATATTTGTGGACAGCCGGAGATAAAAGAAAGCATAGAAAGCCAGTAGGAGGGCCAGGATAGCTGCAAGCATGAGGCCGACTTCCTGGGGAGGAGAAAACAGTAGACTTGAGCTGACGAAGAGAGACTAGTTTTATCACATACAATAACAATATCACTCCATGGTGCAGGATAAATAATGTCAACTCAATTATTATTAATAAGTAATCTATTTTTCATAAGACAATACATATTGCAAAAGCAAGTACATAAGTGGGTGAGGCATTTCTATTAAGATTTTTCTGGTGGTAAAATTTAAATTTATTGTTTTAATATATTTCTTAACTTTGTCATCAAAAATTTAAGTGAAATCAATGTAGTTTGTGCTTATATATTTGAACTGGTCTCTAATTGACCTCATGTAACTATTTTTTGAGTATTATATTATTTATTAGTGATAGGATTTACCAGAAGATATTTTTACAAATTATCACTCAATTTCCTGTTGGGAAGAAATGCCCTGATAATTGATTGCAGGAAATAAATCCTATACAAACATAAGCTTCACACTCATTTTATTGAGATTATAATAGAATTACCAAACGTCACCCTTTCCTTTCCGCTCCCAAACTTTCCCATATGTCTCTCCCTGTTCTCCTTCCAATTCATGGCCCCTTTTCCACTAATTGTTATTGAGCTTGGTTTCCTTTTTCTTTTCTCTGTTTCCTTCTGTCTCCTCCGTTTTTGAGTCAAGTTGGCCTCTAACGTGTTACATGGCTGAGCCTGGCTTCCAGCTCCCTCACTTCCAACCTTAGTCTCCAGCCAGAGTGCTGGGATTACAGGTTAGTGCCAACATGCCTGGCTATGCATTCTACTGTTTATAACTCTAAACTCAGTAATTTACCCAGTGGGGTAAAAAAGTGAACTCTGAGTTCATAAGGTATAAGCTAGTGTAACTCCTCTTAGCTCTGAAGACAGGGATTATATTCTACCTTTGGTATTTTGATGTTGATTATATCAATCATTTATATTAAGTAATGGGTAAAACTTAACATATGATAAAACTTCATTTTCCTTCAAAAATATCAGTGTGTGTCTGTATTGCAAAATATCTTTCTCAATATTAATATGCTATTTTACTGCACTGACAAAAGAACAGAGTCCAGTTCAGGATCCAAAATGCTCTAAAAAACCCTGCTGATTTCACTTTTGTATTATATCCCTTACCTGGCATTGTTTCACGGGGAAGCAATTCATTTGCATTTGTATGAATATATTTCACATTTCATATGAATGTAAAATAAATAATTCAACATGTGCCACCTATTAAACTTTAAAAAAAATTAAAATGATTTTGATATATAATCAACATGAAATTTCAGGTGAATGTTGAAAATACAAACACATTATGTACAGATTTGCAGTTTCTTGATTATATTTATTTAGATATCCAGACTATGAAAATAAATATTGATAGAAACTACAGGGTAAAAAACTGTGTCAATAATTTTGTGGGATTCGATTTTTAAAATCTAATATATCAATGTAATGTCAAGTGAGAGTGAAATTTTCTTTGTTACAGCTGGAACACTTTGGCATCTCCAAAGGGCATGGCAGCATCAGGCAGGTTTCATTCATTTTCTCCCAGCCACAGCTGGGCTCCCAGGCCCATCTGGTTAAACGGCTACTAATTTTAAGAGGATGTAATAAACAAGTGACACAACCACCAACTCCATCTGCTTTGTAGAGTGGACAACACAACTGATCAACAGCGGTCATCACTTCCAGAAGCTCAGTGAGAGAATGAAATTTGTATTCTGGTTCAAGGCTGTTTCTCATCTTACTGATAAGCACTCTTAATTGCTGTTTTTCCATTCACTATCCTTACGATGACCTGTCATTCCCTCATTAAATGCATTCTGGATATTCAGAGGTATTGAGAAGAATGTTAAGGGTAGAAAGTTGAGATTTTGCATAGAAAAACCCCTGTACTTCAATGCTGTCTGGGCAGTGTATGGCATGCAAATGACTTCAAATCACTGAAAGGGATGTCACAAACACTTTTCTTCAAAATGCCTTTTGGTGGAGGCAAACACCGTGGAAGATGACTGTTTTGAAGTTTCATGCCATGATCAAATCTCGAAATTAAGCTTTCAGGGTGCCAGAGGCTGTGCCTATAACCTTAGACACCTGTAGGCATATGACGCCCTTTCCATGATTTGGCTGCTGTTCAGATTTAAACCAGAAATAACAAAAAGAACAAACAACATTTCAAGCTGTTCATCCCAAAGGGATGCTGACAGGATCTGCTTGACACTGAATTTTTTATTGATGTGGAGAAGCTAAGTTTTCTATTCTTATTCTTTGTGATGACTATGTTTTTCTAATAGACATTTAAAATAAGCAAATGTACATTTGTTTCCTTCTACAGGTCAGGGAACACAGGTATCTGCATTCTATGAGAATTTTAGTGATATGTACAACAAATTGTGTCTCTGCGTCTGTATGTGTTTCGCATGCTTTTTCTTTGACTCTTTTTCTTCTGCTTGTTTGTTTTGTCTTATTCCAGTTTGTTTGTCTGGTTTTGTTTATTTTATTTTATTTTATTATTATTCTTTAGAAGCCTGTTTGGTTTCTAAAGAGAGACAGAAAGGGTGTGGATTTGGATGGGAGGGAAGGTGGGAGAGGATCTTGGAGGAGTTGGGGGAGGGAAAACCATAATCAGAATATATTGTATAAAAATTATTTTCCAAAAAAGAAAAATAAACTAATTTTATTTTTAAGCTGAAACCATTCATCGTTCCTCTAAAAACATTCTCTATAACTCAATTGTATGTTTAGAACAAGGTGCCAGAAGCCTTAAATGGCAAATGCCTACTTCTCAACTGGTCATCTCAAGGCTCAGTGCACTTGGTTTAATATGGTAATTCAATCTGGGGGTGATTTCCAGTACACTCTTTACAAGACAATCACATTTTACTCATCTCTTTAGAGGTTCTATAATATTGCAATAGCTTATAGTGATTTGTAAGTAAAATTGGATCAAGTAATACCAATATAACTTTCATAGTAAGCTTATTAAAAGTATGTGATGGTGGCGCATGCCTTTAATCCCAGCACTTGGGAGGCAGAGGCAGGAGGATCTCTGTGAGTTCGAGGCCAGCCTGGTCTACAAAGTGAGTTCCAGGAAAGGCGCAAAACTACAGAGAAACCCTGTCTCGAAAAACCAAAAAAAAAAAAAAAAAAAGTATGTGATGTTTTAAGGGGTTTAAATCACTAATGCTTGTAATACTAACCCCACAGCAAATCCAAGAGCACTTTGTATCATAATGGCTACACAATGCAAGGACAGTCAAAGTAAGGAAGGCCCTGACAAATATTCATGGGTCTAATTTATACAAACTAGCCACAGCTGATTTTGGGTTTTCCCTATCACCTAATAGTCACAGATGCCTTAGATGTGGTAAGTTCAATTCTGTCTACTCTTTAGATCTGCTGGCAGCTCTGAGGTGAAGGACATAGTCTCCAACTACAAATACAGCTTCTTAGATTTAGTCAGATGACTCATGCCAACAGTGAGGTTCACAAGGATATGATCTCAGGCCTGTCATGACATATTCAGTTTTGTGGTCATTGGTGTCTTTTTATCTTCCATGCACCTGTTCATATTTCCTGTAGATTCATATTATTTGAATATCATTTGAAGAGTATAACTTTGACTCACTCAAAAGTAGTACAGTAGTAACATAATATGACATTATGGTCATCCTGTATCAAGTAGATAAGAGTCAAACATGTTTGATGTTCATTAGTTCTCAGTTGCTTCTCTGACATTATCAATATGGATAAAATCACTCACCAGGGAAATTAAAAAGCATTAAAAGACAATTGCTGAAGGAAACTCTGTTATTTAAAATCCTACGGCAAAATGACAAGGCAATCAAAGTCTGACAGGGCAAACTAATTAGTATGCTAGATTTGAAATGTAAGACACCTTCATGGTTCTCCTTCTTAAAAGTTTCATATAATGGTAATGGCCTCTGAACACACAGTTTTATGAAAAGAAAATAGTAGTTAAAGTCTTTGTTTCCAAGGATCACCAATCAGAATGATATGCTAAATTATTAAAATAGATCTATATTCTAATGTTAGACACTTTTCAGTGTATACTTTTATTGTAAAAGAAAGCTAAGAAAAAGTAATTCTTCACAGTTTTTAAAACAGATATTAGCTAATAGCACTGTACACTATTTTAACTTATAATCAGAACACAGTTATTTCCTCAAAGCAAAACCAAAATTGTAATAGCAAATTAAATAGGTGGTATGCATAAAAATGTAGTATATAAATATATGAAAGGCTGCATTATTTCAATAATCTTAATATATAACTATTCATTAAACTATGCTAGAAATATATTTTTGTTACACTAATATTTCCATTATAAATCCCTAGTATGTTGTGAAACATAAAAGCAAATATTAACTGTTTCCTTGGAGGACAATATTAAAATTGTTCCTATGATAAGAGTCAATCACCATGTGGCCAAACAGAAAATGAAAGCTAAGCATTGCTTTTTAAAAACCCCATGCCATATAATGTCTTTTACATGAATTACATGAATGCAATCACATGTGAAGTATAAAAAACTAAAAAGATAAATCACTCTTTTAAATAAAAAAAAAAAACAAACCTTTTTTTTTCATTAAAACCTGCCAGAAACACTAACTGAGGAGACTGTGTTGTGAAAACAGCACACCACACAGTAAAGCTTGATCAAAATCAGCAATCAGAGGCAAAAGGCAGGCAGTGTTCATGATCACAATAGCAAGTTCTGGACAATAACCAAATACATCATCTGGCAGTTCAACAGCTGTTACAGCTTGCTGCTAATACCTTGGCATTTGTTATAAGCTATAACTTAGAAAAATTGATTTTTTATCTGCCAGATGAAACCCAAATCTTCTTTTAGCAGTTTAATATTTACATAAAATATTTGTATTGGTCATTTTTAATTTACACATTCGATAGTATTAGTTCTAAATGGATTATCCTACCTAGTTTACTTCATTCTAAATATTTGGTGAACATTTGACATGAACACCAATAAAATCATTTTGGTTTTGTTAGCACACTGGACTACTATCCATTGCCATCATTCTCAGCGGCACTTCTCTCTCCGAAGCAGATGAACACTGGGTGGCCTAAAGGACAAGTCTGAGGGTATCATTAGAATTTCATTATACAGACTTCTAGAGACAACAAAAAGACAGTTGTATTACAACTATGTATACAACTATATCGTGAAATTCAAGGAGTCAAAGGATCTGACTAACCCACATACATGGTTGAAATGTTTGAACAATAGTTATAATAGCTAGAACAGTAGTTTTAGAAGAAAATTGTTTTCTGTGTACTGTATATACTATTACTTTAATTGTAACTTTTATTTTGAGTCCTCAAAATTTCAAGATAGAAATGATGTTTTCCAATAAGTAAATTATTTTACAAAAACCTCTACTTTTGATACATTATTGAGACTGAACTAGCTTAAGATGTTCAGAATTCAACAGTTACACAATTCAGTTGTGTAAAATGAACTGACATACATAATACATCACATTATACCCTGATCAAATGGAAGTATACCTTCATGCCTAGTGCTGTTTTCTTTGCTTCTGCTTTTAATTTGGTTGCTCGTAAAATAGGTTTGGTTTTTTTATAATCCTGTTTACCTAGAAAGAAACAATTTCAGACAATGAGTTATGTTTCTGTATAATTCAAATTTCACAATCACCTATAAAATGTCAAAGAATGTTTACAAAAAGTAAAACATGGACAGAGAACTGTGTGGATACTCACAGGTGAGACTACCATAAACGTCACTCAAAGACTGATACCCTTTGACTTCAAAAGAAGAGCCTGACAGACATCTTGATTTGATGCACAGGATGTCAAAACAAAATTATAATTTTTATTTTTTAGAGAATAATATATTCACAGTAAGTGTGTCCTTTGAAATAAAGGCACTAACACATGAATATATATAATTATATGAATATATATGTATATATATTATAAAATCATATATATAATCAATTATGAAATAAATTGCTTTAGCAATTAAAAATAACTCCCATTAAATTTATAATATTGTGGATACATTAACTATTCAAATGATTAAGAAATATTTGGTCATTTTTCTCTGAGACTAAAAGAGGAATCTATAAGGAATTGGCTTTTAACTCCCTAAATTCATTAGAACAAAGTATGTCTAATTCCATTCCTTTCGCCAGAGGACAGAACAGACATGACTAATATGACAGAGGACAGTGACATTTAGATATGACACTCAATCTTCTTCACCACATTTCACAGCCAAAAAGAAGCAACATTGAGTTAGTGTCACAAAATTTCTGGTTTTGGTGTACCATCTGGTGACCCCACTGACAAGCTATAAATGAAGCAGTGCTCAGCCTCAGGAAAAAAAAAAAAAGTAGATTTCACAACAAAAGTATTACCAAGAAAAATACATATTTAAAAAAATTCTCTTAAAGAAACAAGTGGCTGTAGTTTTAAGTACAAAAGTATAACATACTTTTCTGAGCAACAGTTAACAGGACAGTATAGCATAGTTCATATCCTCGCTCTGCTCCCTGACTCACACTTTACCCGCTTTCCTCCCAGAGGTCAGTTTCCAGAGCTTATCCACACAGTTACCTTATATAAATGATACAATGTTTCACTCCAAATTTCCACATCCTAGTCATATTCAAATAAATCTGAAAGCAGTTGATTTAAACTAAAATATGTCATAAAAAATTAATGTGATACATCTGCTTCATAATGTATCTGCTAATGATTCAAAAGTACCTTTGAACTTCTATATAGATTTTTAGAAATAGAAATGGCAGAGAAGTGAGCTAAATGGATAGTAGTGATGGAGAAGTGCTCCAGTTGAGTTCATTAGACACATCCAAGTGTTTCTCTGGCTGAGGGGCTGTGTGTTAGTTCTTAAAAAGAGATTGTTTTCACACTGGTGCAGGGTAGTCACTCTCATCTACCAGCAGAAGATTAATAAGTGTTATTTGTTAATGGGATTTAATGATGCATAAAAGAGTCAATTGTAAAAAAAAATGGATATCAAATGTTCTAAATTTAAATAATTAGCAGAAAAACATGACTCTGACCCACTTTAAATTAGTAACATTTAATTTTGCTGAAAAAAAAAACAAGGAAAAAACTTGACAAGGCTTCCTTCTGATTTCACATCTCAATGGTCGAGTTACTCTTATGTTAGTCCCACTGTGACATAAACGGTTGAGAAGAATGAAAACGGTGACACGGCGTCTCCGCTCAGGGCGACCAAGCACATTTCTAACGAAAATACGAAAATAAATGTCAAGATCACAGATATCAGCAGAAAGAAAACACTCTCATTCATTGCCTTATAAGAATCCTAACGAAAAATGGAGAAAAGTAAGTACGAATGATGATTTTTAAAATGATTAATAAGTAATTTTCATTATTTTATATAATGCTCCATCATAACATAAACTAGATAGGTATTAGAGTCAATGTGACAGTAAGAATTTGCCATTCAACTTGTGGTGCCGTAAAACCATTAGTTAAGTAACCCTATTCCACCTATAGTCTTTTACAGAACAAACCTCGATTATCACTGAGGTGGATACAAATTTCTAAAAGTGTATTTAAAATGGATGTTATTAAAATTAGTGTGCATCTGGCACATTTCCAAACAACACATCTGGCATTAATTTCCCATTCCCCTTCTGGTCCATGACATGCAATAACATACACTGTACAATGCATTTTACAGTGAGAGCACTCACAGGGCATCCACTAAGTTCTTGAAACTCAAACTCTATCTTTCTATCATGGCCAGAGAAACTTTTTTTTTCATTTATTTTTTGCTATTAAGAGATTTTCTATTCATTTTACATACCAACCACAGATTTCCCTCTCCTCTCTCCTCCTGCCCTCTCAGCCTTCCCCCTAACCCACGCCCCATTCCCACCTCCTCCAAGGCAAGGTCTCCCCTGGGGAGTCAGCAGAGTCTGATACATTCAGTTGAATCAGGTCCAAGCCCCTCCTCCCTGCACCAAGGCTGCACAAAGTGTCCCACCATAGGCAAAAGGCGCCAAAAAGCCGGCTCATGCACCAGGGCCGGGTCCCAATCCCACTGCCTGGGGGACCCCTAAACAGTTCAAACTAAACAACCGTCTCACTTATCCAGAGGGCTTAGTCTAGTATCATGGGGGCTCCTCATATATTAGTCCACAGTTCATGCATTTCTACTAGTTTTCTTGGTCATCTCTGTACATTTTCCCATCTCAATGTCCCTTGCTCATAGAGTCCCTCCTCTCTCTCATCAGTTAGACTCCTGGAGCTTGGACTGGCACCCGGCTGTGGATCACTGCATCTGCTTCCATCAGTCACTGGAGAGGGCTCTATGATGACAGTTAGGGAATTCAGCCATCTGATCACCAGAGTAGGCCAGCTCAGGCACCCTCTTGACCATTGCCAGTAGTCTAAGATGGGGTCATCTTTGTGGATTCCTGGGAACTTCCCTAGCACTTTGTTTCTCCCTACTCCCATGATGTCTTCATTTATCATGGTATCTCTTTCCTTGCTCTCCCACTCTAACCTTGTTCCAGCTTGAACCTTCCATTCCCCTATGTTCTCATCCCCCATACCTTGCCCTCCATTAACCCTCTTCACCCCCAGTTTGCTCATGTAGCTCTCATCTATTACTCCTTCCCTGGGTGATCCATGTGTCCTTCTTATGGTCCTCCCTGCTAGCTAGCCTCCCTGGAGCTGTGGGTTGCAGTCTGGTTATCCTTTGCTTTACATCTAGTATCCACTTATGAGTGAATACATACCACGTTTATCCTTCTGAGTCTGGATTACCTCACTCAAGATGGTATTTTTCTAGTTTAATCTATTTGCCTGAGTAGTACTCCATTGTGTATATGTGCCACATTTTCTTTCTTTCTTTCTTTTTTTTTTTTTTTTTTTTTTGGTTTTTCTAGACAGGGTTTCTCTGTGTAGCTTTGCGCCTTTCCTGCATCTCGCTCTGTAGACCAGGCTGGCCTCAAACTCACAGAGATCCGCCTGCCTCTGCCTCCTGAGTGCTGGGATTAAAGGTGTGTACAACCACCACCCGGCAATGCCACATTTTCTTAATCCATTCTTCAGTTGAGGGTCATCTAGGCTGTTTCCAGGTTCTGGCTATTATGAATAATGCTGCTATGAACATAGTTGAACATGTGTCTTTGTGATATGACTGAGCATTCCTTGGGTATATGCACAAGAGTAGTATACCTGGGTCTTGAGGAAGATGGATTCGCAATTTTCTGAGAAACCGTCATACTGTTTTCCAAAGTGGCTGTACAAGTTTGCACTCCCACCAACAGTGGAGGAGTGTTCCCCTTGCTCCACATCCTCTCCAACATAAGCTGTCTGCAGTGTTTTTGGTCTTAGCCATTCTACAGGTGTAAGAAGGTATTTCAGAATTATTTGCATTTCCCTGATGATGAAGGATGTTGAGCAATTCCTTAAATGTCTTTCAGCCATTTCAGATTCTTCTGTTGTGAGTTCTCTGTTTAGCTCTGTAGCCCATTTTTTAAATTGGATTCTTTGGTATTTGTTGGTGTGGGATAATCTATTGTCTATGTTTTTTCAGGGTATTTAACTTCCTTAGGTTGGATTTTTCCTTCTAGTGCTTTCTGTAGGGTTGGATTTGTGGATAGGTATTGTTTAAATCTGGTTTTATCATGGAATATTTTGTTTACTCCATCTATGTCGATTGAGAGTTTTGTTGGATATAATAGTCTGAGTTGGCATCCATGGTCTCTTTGTGTCTGCATCTCATCTGTCCAGGAACTTCTGGCTTTCAGAATCTTCATTGAGAAGTCAAGTGTTATTCTGATGGGTCTGCCTTTATATGTTACTTGGCCTTTTTTCCTTTGTAGCCCTTAATATTGTTTCTTTATTCTGTATGTTTAATGATTTGATTATTATGTGATGAGGGGACTTTTTTTTGGGGGGGGGATCCAGTCTATTTGGTGTTCTCTAAGCTTCTTGTATCTTCATAGGCATTTCCTTCTTTAGGTTGGAAAGTTTTCTTCTATGATTTTATTGAATATATTTTCTGTGCCTTTGAGTTGGTATTCTTCTCCATCTTCTATCCCTATTACTCTTAGGTTTGGTCTTTCATGGTGTCCCAAATTTCCTGGATGTTTTGTGTTATGACTTTTTTGGCTTTAGTGTTTTCTTTGACTGATGAATCTATTTCCTCTATCGTATCTTCAACACTAGAGATTCCCTTTTTCATCTCTTGCATTCTGTTGGTTATGCTTGCAGCTGTAGTTCCTGATCATTTACTCAGATTTTCCATTTCCAGTATTCCCTCAGTTTGTGTCTTCTTTATTGCCTCTATTTCAGTTTTCAAATCTTGGACTCTTTCCTTCAACTGTTTAATTGCTTTTTCTTGACCTTTTTAAGGGATTTATTGATTTCTTCCAATTTTTTTGTCTTTACCTCAACTTCTTTATTGATTTCTTCCAATTTTTTGTTTGTCTTTTCTTCCATTTCTTTAAGGGAATTTTCCATTTCCTCTTTAAAGGACTCTATCATCTTCTTAAAGTCATTTTTAAGGTTGATTTCTTCTGCTTCTTCTGCGTTGGGATGTTCAGGTCTTGCTGAGGTAGAA